ATTATTTAACATATAATACTTCGCTTTTCCAGACGCACCACTACTAGGTAAGCTTTCTTGCTTTCAGCAATCAAACAGATTGCTCAGTAGCTGTGTTCTTTTTTCTCATTTTTTTCCGCATCAAATTTCTTCTATTCCCCAATTATTATTTTAAATGAGGAAACCTAATATGTATCCGGCCTATGCATTTTACGTGCAAAGCAGATAGTTAATTTACTGATGATTCATCATTTCATCATTTTCTCTTCATTTTCTCTTTATCTTTTATTAGGAATCGCTTTTCCTGTGAGCCACTCCCAATCCACAAAAAGCAATTGTATAAAGTACATTGATTATGAACAATATCCGAGTAAAACATGGTTAACAGTGGGAAATGCTCATATTTCCAAGATTGTGTCTTTTAGAAGGGAACTGTCCCAGCTGCTCAGACATACTGAGTTTTTCCTAACATTTCCCAATTACTCCTTTAAATAAGCAAACGTAACATACGACAAAACACATTGCGTGCATTGCAGCTACGATGCCTCGAAGATGGTTAAGCGCAACGGAAAGACAGAGCAGCCTGGAAAGACAACGACAGCTTGCTGCTGAAAGTAAACGCCGATATCGGTCATCTGAATCCTATCGTCAGGCTGAAAGAGTACGTGATACAGTCGCTCATCGACTGTTGCGATCCCATCCCGTTTCCACAGCTTCGATGGGGAATGCTTCTGATGAACCCAGTACAAGTCGCGGTCTGCAGCAAACAGCTTTAGGTATTTTAGCACTATGATATTTCTGCTTTCTTAATGTGCTATAATGAACAACAGTGCTTGCAAACACATCAGTATGCATTGTCATTACTCATAGAACTCATTACTGATTGAACTGAACTTCATTTTCCTCAGTCCCATGCAACTACTCAAAATTATCAGCGTCGCATACCAACCAGGTCCGCGCAACCATGCGTTTTTGCATTTTTTGCTTCAGTAAGATCGCTTGGAATCCCAAATAGCTAGATTTTTTGGAATACTGGTTCTCGAAGTTTAAAATGGTAATTGTGCAATTACGTGGTAATTGATTAGGGAACATCCCCTTAAAATTTCAGCCTTCCAGTGTATTTAGGCCAAAATTTTCACGTGTTCGTACATAAGGCTAGACGTGTGTGAGGGCTGGCACCGCGATCCTGAGGTGACAGTTGGCCGGGAAAACCACTGGCAAAATTTTAGCATTAGAGCTTGCCTGGTTATCGAGTTGAAATACTCGGGCAGACACAAACACATACACACACGCACGAAAAAACACACATGCCACACGCATATAATGAGTTTTCACCATATGTGTTTTTGCATTTGCGTATGTGCCAAAACGTATAGCTACACCAAATTTTGAGTCTTGCTATGACATAATGCACTTGTTAGCAATTACATGAAACCAACCACATACTTTTGTATTAGAATTCCATTTCAAAATTCTTTAGAACAGATTTTTTCTGCAAAATTCCACTTTTAAATCTCCTTTCAGACATCAGCCGCTCAAACAGTACGCAAGAAGCGAGCAACAGCAATGCCGAATTTGCT